TTTTTTTTATAATGATTGAGATATTTGATCCATTTGGATAGCCAAGATATATTCGATCTTGTATAATTGGTGTGCTTCTAAAAATAATAATATAATTTTATTGATTTTGTCTCTTATCCATAATTATTTATATAACTAGTTTTCAACATATATTATTTTAGTAATTCAAATGGGAGATTCACATAGAAATAATAAAGAAAAATGAAAAGAGAAAGAAAACTATGAAGCTTGGACCAAGGAGGATTTCGATGAATTGTTACAATTGATAGTGGATGCTATAAAAAGATGATAGAATATTATGGAGAATTATTATTATTATTTATCTAGACATTATTATTTTTTTTATTATTTTTATCTTTGACTCTTTTTAAATTTGAATGTATGAATTTTTTTTTTAAATCTTATCAAATGTCAAAACTCTACAAAATCCCACAGAATCCATTAAAATCCTGATTTAAAAGTCATGTAGAATCAATTAAAATCTTGATTTTAAATCTTGTAGAATCCTACAAAATCTTAAAAGTCATGAAAATCTTGCAAAGTCTTTTAAAATCCGCAGGATTTTTTTTCACTAAAAAAATCCTTTAAAATCCTAATCCAATACACCCCCCTAAGTGTCTTTCAAGTTTCAAGGATTATTTGTCATATTTTTTCACGCCCCAACAGATATAGGATATGACACATTTCCCCCAAAACTCGCATCGCATATTTTTTGATGCCCCCAAAAAGATACAAGATATCACAGAACTCGCCCAAACGACGCGGCATGAAAGGAAAGGTATAACAGGTGACAGGTCAAGTCACAGGTAATCCCAAGTCACGACGCCAAATATTCTTCTTTTCATCTTCGCTCTTTCTCTCTCTTCACTCGTCTTCGTCCTCTTCCTCTGCGCCCTAACCGAATTCAATTCCAATTCCTCTCATCAAAACCCCCAAACCAAGCCTCGCTCGATCCTGAAACCCTAATTCGATGTGGGCAGCTTCGTGCCTCGCGTCATGCTGCGCGGCCTGCGCGTGCGACGCCTGCAGGACCGTCGTTTCGGGAATCAGCCGTCGTTCCGCCAGAATCGCTTACTGCGGCCTTTTCGCCTTCTCTCTCGTCGTCGCTTGGATTCTCCGCGAGGTCGCTGCTCCTCTCATGGAATCACTTCCCTGTAAGTAACCCTAATTCCTCTCCTTTTCCATTTCTTTTTATTCTGTAGTAATCGATTTAATCTTCTATCTGAATCGCCAATTTCGTGTACAAGTTTTAAATTCTTTAATATTTTTCGTCACTCGCTTAAAGTGTTTGGGGGTTTGAAACAATTTTTTTCTTCTTCTGGAATTGAAGGAGGGATGCGTGCTGCTCTCCTTGAAAATGATCAAAACTCAGTTTTAGGGGTTTTAGCATAGGAGCCAGGTTATTGTCTTTAATTTGTTCTTAAAAAGATTGTTGTTACATAATTCTAATTTCATATTGAATACACGTATTGGATTGAAGATGTTTTTAGTCTCTGAGCTTTTGTCAAATTTTGTTTCTAGTCCGAACAGAATTTATTTGGTTCTGGTCCTTGAAAATTTTGTCCATGAACAAGTTTTTTTGACTTAAATGTTATCGGAAATTAAAAGTTCAAGGACTAAAAGCGAAAATTGGCAAAAGTTTAGGGAGTGAAATTAGTAGAAATTTGTTCAGAATTAGAAACAAAAATCGACAATAGTTCAAGGACTAAAATCATGTATAATATTTTTTTAATAAATTTTTCTCCTGAGCTTAAGTTGGTTTGCAAGTTAATTAGTTGTTTTGGTAATGTTATGATATGGATAATACAGATGAGGGTAGATTGATGGACATGGTGAGGTTTATGAAATGCTTAGATGAGGGTAATATCATTGTTTTGTGCTATTGGATGGAGCTGATGTTCTTTTGTTAATGCTGCAGGGATCAACCACTTCAAACAGACTCCCAGCCGAGAATGGTTTGAAACAGATGCTGTTCTGCGGGTTAGCTTGGGCAATTTTCTGTTTTTCACTATTCTAGCGATTTTGATGGTTGGTGTGAAAACTCAGAAGGATCCTCGGGACAATATGCACCACGGAGGTTGGATGTTTAAAATTCTCTGTTGGTGCCTTCTGGTGATCTTTATGTTTTTCCTTCCAAATGAGATCGTCAGCTTCTATGGTAAGAATTTCTTCTAATGTAATTTCCGTTGATCTCTAATAGTTGATTATCACACATGTTGAGCTTCCCGTGCTGCTACTTTACTTGAGTCTTGTAGTCGGGCCTTTATTATGGTTCATATAAGAGATTGTATAATTACTACTTCCTCCATTCCTTTATATAAGAAACAAATGGGTACACTTTTATGGTCCTAATGATAAGAAACAAGTATCTACTTTAAGATGTATTAATTACTAATTTCCTTAATCCTTATATACCCATGCATTTATTATTAATGCACTAACAACAAGTTACACTCATTGGTGGAAAAAGTTATCTCTTGAATTAGGTGTAGTGTCATTTAATGCTGCCCTTATTTAAACTAATCAATTCAAGGGCTATCTTTGGAATAAAAGTTAATTGTATTACATTATTAATGAAAACTAACCATCTTAACTACTTTTATTGGTTTTGATAAATTAGTTATTTGTTTCTTATATAAAGGACTGGAGAGAGTATAAAATTAAAATTAAATAGTGTTAGGATGTTCTTAGGTTGTAGGCATTTGTGAATGGAAAAAGAATCTATCCTTCAGTTCATGCCTCATGCCTGTATATTTTTAATTAGAAACCTTCTTTGTGCTTCTTGACTTGAGAGATCTTGAATCATAGGTGCAGTTTGACTGCCTGAAACTTACTATTCATAAGCATGAATTGAATCTAAATTTGATGATTGCATTCAAAATGAAAGCAGTGTTTGGTTAACAACTTAAAACTGACATTTGCTTTTCATCAGTTGAAATCTATTAATGGTATTCTCATTTATGTGAAGAAGTTACTTCCCAAGTGTCTCCATGTTTATTTGCCTTCTTCTAATGAAAGTTATTTCCCAAGTGTCCCATGTTTATTTCTCCCCTAAAATAAAAGTATCTGCTTGCCACATGGACTTTTGGAGGGCCTGATAGTATTAGATGATGGATGTACAGCTGAAATGAAAAGATTACTGTAATGAACCTGAGATTCTTCTAATATAATATCAGTTTATTATCACACATGTTGAGCTGCTTGGACTGCTACTTTGCTCGAGTCTTGTACTTGGGCCTATATTACACTTCATATAAGAGATAGTATAATTACTATAACATTTAATAGTATTAGGATGTAGCCATTTATGAATGGTAAAAGGAGCTACTCTTCAGGTTCATGCCTGACACCTAAGAAGTCTTCTTTGTGCCTCTAGACTTGTAGCACTTGAATAAGTCAAAGCTGCAGTTTGACTGCCTGAGACTTACGATTCATAAGATTGAATTGAATCAAAATCCGGTAACTGCATTCATAATGTACCAGAATTTGGTTAACAACTTGACAATTAACACTGACAATTTCTTTTCATCATTTGAAATCTATTAATGGGATTCTGTGCATTCTTCTAATGGATGTTTGATGTTCACATAGTCCACTATAATAAAAATTATTTCTTGGTTATGCAACTTATTCATGAACTGCGCATCATATGAACTTTTGGAGGGCCTGAGATTATTGGATGATGGAAGTTCAGCTGTAATGAAATTGTTATAATAAATCTAATACTTTAAAGTAATATACCTTATTTGTTTGAGCTATTGTTTTGAATATGGGGTGACATCTTTGAATCAAAATATTGTTTTGAATATCATTTGAGCATTTTGTTGTTTTCTTTTAAAGCCTGATGTAGTGATTCACATTATGTTTGAAATCTCAACATGAAAAACAGTTTGCTATTTAGTCTTCATAAAAACTGTAAATTTTCAAGAACCAAGATACAGAAAATGACTTTGTATTTAAATAAACAGATTGAGTTGAAAGAGGGGTGTCTGTACATTCATAGGCATTTAAAATGTAAATTATTTCATTGTTTATGATTATGACGAGGTGTCTTAATTTGCAGAGTCAATATCAAAGTTCGGCTCGGGTATGTTTCTTCTTGTTCAAGTCGTGCTCTTGTTGGATTTTGTTCATGGATGGAATGACAAATGGGTTGGATTTGATGAACAATTCTGGTTAGTTTTAGCCATTGCTTTATTATTTAATTCCTTTAATGTCATTTTCTTTACTTGATAAGTTGATATTATAGTTTTGAATGAAAATTTCAGTATTTATCTGTTGTTTTATACAGGTATGTTGCTCTATTTGTTGTTTCACTTGTTTGTTATGTGGGATCGTTTGCATTCTCGGGAGTTCTCTTTCACTTTTTCACACCATCTGGACAAGACTGTGGACTCAATATCTTCTTTATTACTATGACCCTGATTCTCACATTTGTTTTTGCCATAGTGGCTTTGCATCCTGCAGTAAGTTCATTATTTGATTTTCACTGTAGCTAACCATTAATTTTATTTCCTTGCTTTTCACATGCAGAATTAATTTTCCAAATTTGTCTACTCTATGATATTGAATTGTCATTGCTTGGAAGTTGTAAATCATAATTTTCCATGTTTCAAGTTAAATACATAGTTAAAATCTAGTTTCTTATCTGCTATCTTTGTTATTTTGGTTCAATTTTTCTTCTTCTTATGGAGTGGGAACTTAGTAGAGATGGTGTTAAAAGTATATTTATTCCTGTCAGCTTGGGATTTGACTGAAATTTTCTAAGCTTGTCTTGAAGGATAAAATTGCTGAAATTTTACTTTGTTTAGATGGGAACTAGTTAGACACGTGAATTTTGAATTATTTTCGTATGCAGGTAAATGGAAGCATTTTGCCTGCATCAGTAATATCATTATACTGCACGTATCTCTGCTATAGTGCCCTGGCTAGTGAACCAAGAGATTATGAATGCAATGGCCTTCACAAACACTCAAAAGCTGTTTCCACTGGCACCCTTACTTTGGGTCTATTTACAACTGTTCTATCTGTTGTTTATTCTGCTGTGCGTGCTGGATCTTCTGCTGCGGTGCTTTCCCCACCAAGCTCCCCTCGTGCTGGTAAATTCCAAAAATCCAATATTTCCTTCTTGTGTGAAGATGCACAATTCAAAAGTTGGCAACCAAATATTTGAACTTGAGATCTAATGATTTTGTTGGCCACAAAGCTGAATTTAATTTTGGAATTTGATGCCATGGGGGAAAATAATGAATTTTTGCACGGTTATTTGATTAGTTTTAAATTACAAAAATTTGCTGCATGCTAATACCAACAATCTGCCATCTCTGATGATTCTACAGGTAAGCCTTTGCTTCCGTTGGATGTGAAGGAAGAAGAAGAGAATGAGAAAGCCAAGCCAGTTACATATTCATATGCTTTCTTCCACTTGATTTTCTCTCTTGCTAGCATGTATTCTGCAATGCTTCTGACTGGTTGGTCAACCTCTGTTGGAGAGAGTGGGAAGTTGGTTGATGTGGGGTGGCCTTCTGTGTGGGTTCGGATTGTCACTTCCTGGGCAACTGCTCTACTGTACTTATGGTCTCTCGTAGCTCCTATCATGTTCCCAGAAAGGGAGTTCTGAGCATCATGTTCCTAAGTTTCAAGGTTCTGATGAAAAATGTGGCCCCTAACTACTATGTAATCGACTTGTGTTGCTTTTATTATAGGCTATACGACATGCATCTATATCAACATATATTGGAATTAAGTGTTCCAAATGACATGATTCCAAGTGGTGTGCTTTTAACTGTATAGTGAAAGATTTGTTCCACGAACAAATCTATATTTTATCATATGATCTGTTTCTGCATCTTCCATCGCGCAATTTCACCTTCTTATATGTATGGTGTGACTGATCTATAAATTTGAAAGTAGAATGAATGAAATGACTCTTAAAGAGGAAAATGATAAGTGAAACACAATGGACATTTTTAGTGCATGTTTTGGTGCAGTATCTTTAGGCTTGTTTGCCTTTTTTATTCCTCTTATATTACTAATTAATGTGTGATTTTAGTTCCATAACTTTTTTTTCTTCAATTTAGTTAGATTTTAGTTATAAGAGAAATATTTAGAAGTACACTCTTTCACATTTTAATTGGATGAAATTTATTAAAAATACAAAAAGTTAGTAGGTCTCACTATTTAATTACATTCTCTCTTGATTTTGTAACTTTCAATAATTTTTAACTAATAAAAGAGTGTATTAAAAAAGTATGTTGTTAGCACTCTTATAATAATTTAGTATTTCCATGATTTTCAAAATAGTTAAAGCTTGTCGTTTTTTTATTTTTTTGTTTTTTAATTTTTTTATAACTTTAATCATGGATATTTTGTGACCTATTATTCCTTGAGGGTGATGGGAATGACTACAAATGGAGGGTTATAAGCCAATTTTTTAAGAACATATTTTGCAGACAAATTACTCTAGGAAATATTGTTTTCTAAACTTTATTGTAAAGAAAATAAGATATCCATGCCTTGTGCTTATTTCTGTTTTTAAAAACAGGTATATTATAATATTTTGGAGTTATTATTTTTAACTTTTAAAAAATGTTAAAAACAGTTATAATTTAGATTTTAGATACTTGAATATTATAAATATTTTATATTAAAAATATTTTAAGAAACCACATACGCATTTATGTAGTGATTAAATAAGTTTACATAATAAGTTTTGGTGCATTTAGATTGGATTCTCGTCTAGATTAAAATTTTGTTTGACAAGTGAAAACTATGTTTTGTAAGCATAGATTAATCTTTGGTTGTTAGGTTTGGGATAATATGTGAATTATGTCTATGGATAGAAAAATGAATAAGTTTTAATTTTAATCTTTATAAAAAAATTTCCGTCTATCTTTTCAAAATTTGATTTAATCTTCATAAACAATTTTCCTCCAAAATTAATGATGTTTTTAATTTTAATTTTAAGATAGATAAACAATACCCCTTCTAGTTCTTATGATAAAGTATAATTTAGAAGAAATTGGTAGTATTCATTATAAGACACTTTACAATTTTTATAAAATATTAATTTTATTTTTAATTTTTTTTCCATTAAAGATTATGAAAATAAATGTTTCTTTTCTTTACCTCTTAAACTTTTTAATTGTTATTTACTATTTTTATTGGTATTAGTGCATAAATCTTAATATAGAGTTATATCTTGACATCTCTCATAGAAATTTATTTATAAGAAAGGTAAAATTGATAAATTATGATTTTATTTTATAAATTCAATAAATTAACTAACATAACTATTTTTACTGATTCATGTAATTCAATTAAAAATGTATTGTAATAAGGACTATAAAGAATATATATTTTTTTTGTTTTAAAAATATAGAAAATATTTATTCAAAAATAGTGAATATTTAGGGATGTTAACGGGATAAGATGAGTGTAGGTAGTATTTTTTGTTGCCTACGCTACATGATAAATATTTATCCAGTATCTATCCTCAAATTTATGCAGGTATCCGTTAAATGGATACTTATGAATTTTTTTTAATATCTACAGGGATTCATGAATATTTATTAAAAAATAATAAATAATTTTAAAAATATTTTAATAATAATTTCTATTTATTCTAATAATATTATTTTTAAAAATAATAGTTTAAAAGTCAAAATTTAAATTATTATAATATTGTACACAATTTTATTAATCAAGATTCTTCGATATAAAAATTAAATTGAGGTGTTAAAGTACTTTAATTCCATAAGTTTAAACAAATATAATAAACTAAAATAATTCAATCCCACAAGTCCATATAAAAGTTAAAAATTATAATATTTTACTCTCACAATTATAAATAAGAGAAATTTAAGTAACTTCTTATTAATGTGTTGCAGACACCCAATTTCGTTCGGAGAGCATACAAACAAAGAAATGGACGTCTATTATCAAGGAAAGGAACTCCCAAAGCATGAGAATAATAGGACATGACATCAGAAGGCTAAAAGCCTAAATAAGCTAGTTTTAGTAGCCTGGAACGGGCTGTTCCAAAACTGGATCTGGTCGTTCCAATTTACAAAAAGGGCCTAAAACCCTAGTTTGGAACGGACTGTTCCTAAATTAGAACGGACCGTTCCAAGCTCTTAAAAAAGGCCAAAGCCTATATTTGGAACGGGTCGTTCCCAAATTGGAATGGGTCGTTCCAAGTGACAAAAAAGGCCTCAAATCTTAATTTGGAACGGGCCCTTCCAACATAGCAATTATGTGTTAAACGCACCTCTGGAACGGGCCGTTCCGATTTCAAAACGGGCCATTCCAATATACGAAATTAACACATAACCGCCATATCTAGAACGGGCTGTTCCGATTTTGAAACGGGCCGTTCTGGCACCCTTCTGATGCCTATAAATAGACAGCTTGGGCACAGCTCTCAAGGCCCCAAAAATTTCGTCCAGGACTCTTTAGAGCTCAAAATTTCTGTCTCTCCTATTGTATTTCTTCAGTATTGTGAGGCAATTGTAGTGTGAAAGGTTTCCACAAAGCACCTAGATTTTCCTTATCTAAAGATCTAACAAATCTTGCCACGAGGTATTTCATTTAATCTTCTTCTCTCTCTTTTATTTCTTATTTTTAATATATATTGTTATAATAAAAGCAAGCATGTAGACATTTAGAGTCAATTGTATAATTTAAATTTCAAGTATGTAAATAAATATCAATAAAGGGGATCTAATATTTAATTTATTAATTCTTATCACATTAACTTCATCATAGGATACCGATTGAGGGCGCTGTAAGGGTGCTTAAAACCTTCCCTACATGTAACCGACCCCCGAACCCAATTCTGGTTATCAAGATCATTATTGAAATTTGTTTACCAAAACCTTTTCTTTTTCCAATGTTTTGAGTAAAATATTGGTGGCGACTCCATGAACTCATTTTTCAAAACCATTAATTAAGGATTAATATGGTGTCCGGACATTCCTTAATTGATGAGATTTTCAAAAGGATGTCAAATCATAGGTCGCAAGATCGAAAATTTTCGGGTTGCGACAGATGGCGACTCCACTAGGAAAGTTTTAAGAGGGTTAGACCCATATAAATGATGAAATTAGCATTATAAAAAATAATAATTTAAATATTCTTTCCTTTTATTTTGTTTGTTTTATTTGTTTGGCTTTCATATTTGTTTGCCTGTTTAAATTCAACACCTATTTGGAATAAAAAATTATACACAAACCTTTGCACACAATAGTTCCCCCTACACCCAGGGGCATGAGGGTATTAAACATAGGGAGTCGTTGACGTACGACTGGCCCAAGTTTGGCCTTGGAGCCTATGAGCCTTGTTGGAAATCACACTCAAGGTGATAACCGGTTATTCTAGCCCGAAATACTGCGACATACCTTATAGTTTGCCAGGTGACAGTGACAGAGATACTGGGTCCCTATAATGGGGGCACCTTGGGGGCTTTAAGACCAGTGAGATTAGAACTGTCCTATATAATGCACTTTTCTTGCAGGGACCACAGACCAAGGATTTAAACGTGACTGTTCGCGGGTGTACATTTGTTTGAGCATATGTGTGTTGCATTTGTTTGTGTTTATTTATTTCAAATGGATAAGAATTATAAACAAATAGATATTAATAAAAAAAAATATGATAAAAATTTTAACTCCCTTCTATATACCCAAACCTCAAAGCATCATATAGGATAGTTTATTTCAAAAAAAAAACAACAAAAACAAATAAATATATAGCAAAAATCATGCATCATTCTCCTTTAGTAAAAAAAAAAAAGAATGATAAAATTTAGGCAGAAAACAAATATCATGCATCTTTTAGTTTAGCATATACATTTATTAGAAAATGGAAGGCACATAGTAGGTAAAGATTTTCGAGAAAGGAGAACATTCTAAACTACAAGAATCGTGTGCCCTTATACTAAGGAGGCCTACTAGACTTTGGACTCTCGTCATCCTTTTAACAGAAGGCAAAGTCTACATCTTCTCAGACTTCTTCCAATTTAGAAAGATTTCATTCCTAAACCCAAATAGGAGATTATTTGAAATTTCGAAAAGGAGGCATGCAAAAAAAGAAATTGAAGCAAAAAAAAAAAAAGAGAAAAAGGATTTGCTTCAAAAAAACATAGTTTGGGAAGCTAAAGAAAACTCCGCTGATGAACGAGAAATCATGAACCTAGGGAGTTTTTTTTTAAAAAAATTGATGATAAGCTCCCTTACACCTCTAATTCGTTATCAAATCACTCCAAACTGCATCTTTCTTCTCTGACTCATCAACCTCGTCAATAAAGATGAAAATTTTGGCAATCACCAAAATAGTGGTGAACCCGAAGATCCTATTGACGGTTACTTCTGATGGGAATAACAAGAAGAGAATCTGAGAAGAAACAAAAACTAATTGCAAATCAACGAACGAGCAAGCATGTATATAGGGACATCATTCAAGCATTAGCTTCTATAGCCTGTTACAACATCGTCAAAGTGCACCGAAAGATTTGTACAAAGAATGTTCTCTAAACAAACAAATCAATGAGAATGATATTTGTTGAATTTCTCAATAACCTTTGCATCCTGTTTTGCACTTCATATAGATAATATGCCTTCCTTTTAAATAATAAAAATAAAAAGGGAAACCTAACTTGTGCATGTTAATCAAATAATGAGATCACTGGTAATCAAGTGCAAACTCGATACATCAAATTGGAAGCACTTAAAAACCAGTAATTGTGCAAGAAGATTGGGGGGCATAACATGCCCAAATTGACGATTCAAACACTGAGAGTTCCCTATGCGAAAATGACAACTGTTGGGATAGGAGGAATGATCAAGAATGAA